ACTCACTCACTTTCTCCCTCCTCCGTCCCCTGTCTGCATGAAGAGCTGATTCTGCTCTTGCTCTGAATTCAACTCCTTCATCCTATCTTGTGATGTAACATCAAATGGATTTGTCACCTCCGCTGCTGGGCTTTGCTAGGCTGAGATTCTCCTGAGATAGTCCTTGGCTCTGTAGCTCCATCTCCAGGACCTCTGCCAAGACAAGTGGAACTGTCTGGCGCAGAAGCTCCTGTTCCAGAAACAGCTCCCATAGAAATAATTAGCTGCAGTTATCCAAAGGCTTTTGTAGTGTACAGGTTCACTTAATTATACTCCAGTTTCCAAAGTGGATGCTGAGGAGGAAGATATGTGTAAGAGTACATAGTTATCTCTTGCCTTCAACCTGATTTGAGAAAGTTTGCAAGTAGTCTTCTGAGAGGATTGAACTAAGTAGTTATAACCATACAATGCTCTGTTGCAGGGGTGGCCAACCTGAGCCTGAGAAGGAGCCAGAATTTACTAATGTACATTGCCAAAGAGCCACATCTGATGAAGTGAGCTGTGGCTCACGAAAGCTCATGCTCAAATAAATTGGTTAGTCTCTAAGGTGCCACAAGTACTCCTTTTCTTTTTGCGAATACAGACTAACACGGCTGTTCCTCTGAAACCAGTAATACATCAGCAGCCCCCGCATCAGCTCCCTGCCCCTCCCACCCCCCCTCCTAGTGCCTCCCACCCACCGGCAGCCCCACCGATCAGTGACTCCCCTCCGCTCCCCTCACCTCTGGATCAGCTGTTTCTTGGTGTGCAAGAGGCTCTGGGGAGGATGGGGAGGAGAAAGGGCACTGCAGGCTCAGGGGAGGGGGCGGGAAGAGGTGGAGTGGGGGGCAGGGCTTGTGGCAGAGCCAGGGTTTGAGCAGTGAGCACCCCCCCGGCACATTGGAAAGTTGGCATCTGTAGCTCCAGCCCCGGAGTTGGTGCCTATACAATGAGCCGCATATTAACTTCTGAAGAGCTGCATGTGGCTCCAGAACCACAGGTTGACCATCCCTCACCTATCCCTCATCTGTGTTTAGTCTATTTAGGGATAAGAACGTATCCCCTTAGTTTTTTGTCCACCAATTTAACACATTTTGGATGCCATCTAAATAATAATTCCCACAGGACTGGATCCTTTGTGAATGGATCCCGCTACAACAGGGTCATTTTACATATTTTACATTACATATTTTAGAGACATCAAACATTGAATCAAACATCAAACACTATGTTAATAAAGTTCTTATCCTGGTGTCAAACCACGTTTAAAGCACAATGAAAATTGATTTACAGTCCCTAAGATTGGGTTTCCATACAGCCCATGTCACAAGTGTGATCACTTCCCCGTAGCTGCTGCCAGCAGGAGGCTTAGAAATGCCAGCTTTTTAAAAATAAAGTATGTAATAATTCTTCTTAATGCCTTTCTCGGCTGGCATGGGGTGAAGTGCTTCTTACCCATGTGATTTCTAGGACATCTCTGCCAAGCTAAGTGGGTGAATCCTTTGCCTAAGGACAGACTCCTCCTGCTACAAAAATGGCTTGTACTCCTAAATTCCTGCACCTGTAAATCTCATATGTTCACATATTTCATGGCCCATTGAGACAGCCACACCCCTGCGCCCAGGCAAAAAGTGGTCGAGTTTTTTCTAGAGCTGGGAACAGGATGTAATCAGCAAAAGCTCCTCTTCCGTCGAACTCCCTGCTAGCAATGGTCTGAAGGAGTCCAGCCCTAAGTGAGCTCAGCTCCTGATGCAAATCCCACCTGTTTCACACAAGCCTTCCCATAAATACAGGCACTGGAGAGAAAAGGGTGGAAAGAGAGAGAAGAAGAGTTGCAATGTGATGCAGAGATAAAAAAGCCAATGAGATTTTACAGGCATTGTAGAGTCACAGAAATGTCGGGCTGGCAGGGACCTTGAGAGGTCATCAAGTCCAGCCCCCTGCACAGTGGCAGGACCAAATAACCTAGACCATCCCTGACAGGTGTTTGTCAAACTTGTTTTTAAAAGTTTCCAATAATGGGGACTCCACAACCTCCCTTGGAAGCCTATTCCACAGCTTAACTACCCTTATAGTTAGAAAATGTTTCTTAATATCTAACCTAAATCTCCCTTTTGGCAGATTAAGCCCATTATTTCTTGTCTTACCTTCAGTGGCCATGGAGAACAATGGATCCCTGTCCTCTTTGTAACAGCCCTTAAGATATTGGAAGACAGTTATCAGGTTGCCCCTCAGTCCTCTTTTCTCAAGACTAACCAGACCCCGTTTTTTCAACCTTTCCTCATAGTTCAGGTCCCAAGCTGCTCTCTCCCGAGCACCTACGGCACCCCCGGACCGCCCACCCCTGGGCAGCCCCCCCCCCAGCACCCATGGCACCCCCCCATGAGCCACCCCCCAACCAGCACCTGCGGTACCCCCCAGACCGCCCACCTCTGGGCTGCCCCCCTCAGCACCCATGGCACCCCCCCCATGAGCCACCCCCCACGAGCACCTGCAGCACCCCCAGGCCAACCGGTCCCCCAAGATTTAGGGGTATATAGTACAAGTCACGGACAGGTCACAGGCTTAGAATTTTTGTTTGCTGCCCGTGAGCTGTCCATGACTTTTAATAAAAATACTTGTGACTAAAACGTAGCCTTACACATTTTCAGTTTGTGGTCATCTACCCCACAGATCTTTTTCAACAGTAGAACTACCTAGACAGTTATTTCCAGTTTTGTAGTCGTGCATTTAATTTTTCCTTCCTAAGTGAAGTACTTTGCACTTGTCTTTATTGAATTTCATCTTATTGAATTCAGACCAATTCTCCAATTTTTCAAGGGCATTTTGAATTTTAAACATGTCCTCCAAAGTGCTTGCAACCCCTCCCAGCTTGGCGTCAGCTGCAGATTTCATAAGCACACTCTCTACTCTGTTATCCAAGTCATGAAAATATTGACTAGTACTGGACTCAGGACTGATCCATGCTGGACCCCACTGGAGACACTCTCCCAGCTTGACAGCAAACCATTGATAACTGCTCTTTGAGTATGGTCTTTCTACCAGTTGTGTACCCACTTTATAATAAATTAATGTAGAGCAGGGGTGGGCAAACTTTTTGGCCTGAGGGCCACATCGGGGTTGCGCAACTGTATGGAGGGCCATGGTAGGAAGGCTGTGCCTGGCCCCCACCCCCCATCCACCCCCTCCCACTTCCTACCCCCCTCAGAACCCCCAACACATCCAACCCCTCCTGCTCCTTGACCCCTGACCGCCCCCTCCCAGGACCCCCCGCCCCTAACTGCCCCTGGGGATCTCCCCATCCAACCCCCCTCCCCCCTGCTCCCTGTCCCCTGACTGCCATGACCCCATCCACACCCCTGCCCCTAACTGCCCCCCAGGACCCAACCCCCTATCCAACTCCTCCTGCTCCCCATCCCCTGACTGCCCCCCTCCGCCCCATCCAACCGCCCCGTCCCCAAACTGCTACGACCCCTATCCACACCCCTGCCCCTAACAGCCCCCTAGGGCCTCACCCCCTATCCAACTCCTCCTGCTCCCCATCCCCTGACTGCCCCCCTCCACCCCATCCAACCGCCCCGTCCCCAAACTGCTACAACCCCTATCCACACCCCTGCCCCTAACAGCCCCCTAGGGCCTCACCCCCTATCCAACTCCTCCTGCTCCCCATCCCCTGACTGCCCCTGGGGACTCCCTGCCCCTTATCAATCCACCCGCTCCCCGCACCCTTACCATGCTGGAGTCAGCCATGCCACCACCCTGCCCTACAGGAGCAGCGGGCCAGAGTGCTGCCCACGTGGCGGCATGGCTGCAGGGGAGGGGGGACAGCAGGGGCAGGGCCGGGGGCTAGCTTGCCCTGCTGGGAGCTCAGGAGCTGGGCAGGACAGTCCCACAGGCTGGATGTGGCCCGCGGGCCGTAGTTTGCCCCCTTCTGATGTAGACCACATTTCCCTAGTTTGCTTATGAGAATGTCATGTGGAACTGTTTCAAAAGCCTTGCTGATATCAAGGTTTCAGAGTAGCAGCCATGTTAGTCTGTATCCGCAAAAAGAAAAGGAGTACTTGTGGCACCTTAGAGACTAACAAATTTATTTGAGCATAAGCTTTCGTGAGCTGTAGCTCATGAAAGCTTATGCTCAAATAAATTTGTTAGTCTCTAAGGTGCCACAAGTACTCCTTAATATCAAAGTATATCACGTTTATTGCTTCTCCCCATCCACTAAGTCAGTAATCCTGTCAAAGAAGGAAATTAAGTTTAGTTTGGCTTGATCTGTTCTTGACAAATCCATGCTGACTATTCTTTATAAGCCTATTATCCTCCAGGTGCTTACAAATAGATTGTTTGATATTTTGCTCTGGTATCTTTCCAGGTATTGAAGTTAGGCTGACTGGCCTATGATTCCCCAGGTCCTTCTTGTTCCCCTTTTTAAAGATAGGTTGTATGTTTGTCCTTCTTCAGTCTTCTGGGACCTCTCTTGTCCTTCATGAATTCTCAAAGATAACTGCTAATGGCTCCAAGATTGCTTCAGTTCTTTAAGTACCCTAGGATGAATTTCATCAGGCCCTGCTGACTGAATACATCTAACTTGTCTAAATATTCTTTAAACTGTTCTTTCTCTATTTAGACTTGCATTCCTTCTCTCTGGCTGTCTATATTAATTGTGTGGAATGTCTGGTCATCATTAACCTTTTTAATGAAGACTAAAGCAAAATAGGCATTAAACACCTCAGCCTTCTTCATGTAATCTGCTATTAGCTCTGCTTCCCTGCTAAGTAGAGGACGTACAGTTTTCTTTGTAAAAAGAAAAGGAGTACTTGTGGCACCTTAGAGACTAACCAATTTATTTGAGCATGAGCTTTCGTGAGCTATAGCTCACTTCATCGGATGCGTACCGTGGAAACTGCAGCAGTTTTCTTTGTCTTTCTCTTGCTCCTTATGTATTTAATGAACCTCTTCTTATTTCCTTTTATGTCCCTTGCCAGGTGTAACTCATTTTGTGCCACAAGACAAATCAGTGATGGTCTCTCCTTATGAAATTCTGGTGCTTCTACACTTAAGAACACTGCATTCAACTTTGGACATCTAAGTACCAGAAAGACAAACTACAAGAGATTCAAAGAAGGGCAACAGATGGTATTAGACAGCTGAAAGGACTGACCGAAGAGGAAAGATGGGAAGAATCAAATATGTATAGTATGTTCAACAAACTCACGGGAGACATATAGTAATAATTCACTATAAGTATGAGATGGGTGTGAACACTATGGAAGGGCAGGATTGTCCAGGATAGTGCAAAGGAGAAATGTGGTGAGATTAAGTAAGGGAAAACAGAGGCTGATTATTAGGGAAATTATTCACAATGGTGAGATATCCCAGGCTAGATAGAATCCAAAAGGAAGTAGTGGAAGGTCCAGTGCTTGGGACATTGCATATACTGTAGTGAACAATCCCCCGCTGCACGGGGTGATCTAACAAGACGTTTGCATCTCTAATTTCTGTGGCGACGATTCTGCTATCTTTTCTCACACTGAGTAGTACTTCACTCTTAGCAATTACAGTGGGACTAGTTGCAAAGTAAGATACTGTTCAATGGGCCAGATTCTCAGCTGGTGTAAATGAGTGTGGCTTCACTGAAATCAATTTACACTAGTCTAGGATCTGGCCCAATGTGAGTAAGTTTAGCAGAATCTGGCCCTGTAATTGTATTAATAAAAGATGCTGGAAGTCTTGTCTCTTCTATGATATATTATACACTGGAACTAAAGTGAGAGCTAGACTCACAGTGCCATGGATTTTTAAACAGCGCTTCCCATTGATTTCTCATAGAAATTCCTTTTTTAAAAGTTTAGTATAAAGGGGTTATTTTTCAACCATTGCAACTATGTGAGTTATAAAATAATACTTTATGGGTGGTTTATGTATTGATAGGTTTCTTCCTGTTGATTTCAATGGGCATTAGATCAGATTATTATAGATTGTAGAACAAACCCACACTACAGAACTGTTTTTACCTTGGGACCATTAGGTGGCGCAATAGCCCTGACTATCAAAGCATAACTGATCTCCAGGTATCTTCTTATATGCTACCTAATTAAAATGTGTACCAATCCTCCATCTGGATAACTCTCACCATGTGTTGAGCAACTGCTGCTTTATACACAATATACCTGTATGACCTCACCTGTTTTTTTGCTGGGGAAATAAGCAGGGCTTTGTGGGGCAGAACTTTGTGGGGGAAAGGAAGAAGGGTTAAAAATTGACTGTGCGCTCTGTTACATATGAAAATCAACCTTGAAAAGATCCTCTTTTTTTACAAGACTCCCAACAATAAATGAATGGAATGCATTTTTATGTTTTCCCCTTGGAAAGCAAACCAAGGATGCTGTTTGTTTTAATAGCAGTGGTGGCAGAATCAAAGGTAGCAGAGTCTGAATACCTGGCGGAGAAATTTCAAAGTTCCCCTGTGCCATGTATTCTGTTCCTACTTCTGCTCCTCCCATCCCATTTCCAAGAGTGGAACTAAAAGGTCTGAGAGCTATATAGTACCCTGCTTTCAGATAGCATTCAGTTACAGCTGTCACATGGCCCTTTTTGCAAGAGATAGGGCGCTAACTTCAGTGTCCTGGATAAATTCCAATTTGAGTAACTCCATTCAGCCTCCCTCAAGTTCCCTTACAGTTTAAATGGAGTGCAGTATTCATCTTCACTTCCTGTCCTAAACTGTTGTGTGCTCTTGCCATGTGCCCTTAAACCGCTGTCACATTTTGGCCTACAGGTGGTTGCTATTTCTATGGCAGGTAAAGGAATTCCTTAATGTGCTGCATGAAGTTCATAAAGTGTGAAATTCACCCCTGGGCAGAGAGGTATGTGCAGCCCAAGGTATGTGTGTCACGTGCCTATGCACATGTGTACTTGAGATATATTCATTGTAAAGAGGTTTTTTGATTCATTTCATAATGTATTCGTGAAAGTGATTTCTAATGAGAGCCAATAAGAAATCACCTCTTAAGTTAGATATTTATTTTATGTATGTATATAAGTGCTTACCCAAAGCTGTGGGCACCATACAAACCTTATCAAATAAATCACTCGAGATTAAAATGACTTTAAAAGGACCTCCCCACACACTGACGCAAATGGCTCTCATTCTGTTCTTCCCTCAAAATCCGGTCTCCACATCCCACCCCAGACAAAGGCACAGAAAACAGACAAGGTTTGCCGTGTGTTGTGACAGTTACCAAACCTGAGCTCTGGCAAATCAGGAAGAGAAGTGAATTCCAGACTCGAAAACAATCTGACTGAGAACAAAAGCGCCCTCCCCTTCATGGCAGGCAGATGTTAGTGAGAAAGTCGAAGCTGTTTGCAACTGCTGTCTTATCCCTTAAAGGGAGAGAGAGGTGCCAAACCATTTAGCGTGCTACAGGTCAGAACCAATACTTAAACTTCACCAAAACCTCAGTGGTGCCCTCTGCTGATTGTGGAGCACAGGTGCCACTTCCTTGTATGATGCACGAATCCTGTGGCTCCCTCTTCTAATTCTCTTGTACATAGGAATTGTCATATCCGTCCAGTTCCGTGGTCCATCTAATTCCTGTCTCTGACAGGACCCAGTACCAGGTGCTTCAGAGGGGAAGGTGCAAGAAAGCCTTTAGCAGCCACCTAGGGAATAACTTACACACAAGGAAAACTGCTTCCTAACCCCAACAGGTAGAACATGGCTTCTGTCCTGAAGTATGAGGGTTGAGATCCCTTCCAAAATGGACTCTTTTTATCTTCACACACCAAACTATAGGCACTTATATGACCCCCATTTTCATAGCATCTGAGCGCTTCCTGGTCTTCATCCTCATAACACCCCAGTGAGGTATGGAAGCACATGTCACCCAATTTTGCAAATGGGGAACTGAGGCAGGAAGACAGACTAAGTGACTTACCCAAGCTCACACAGGAGACTTGTGCTGGAGCAGGGACTTGACCCCAGCTCTCAGAGTCCCAGCCTAGCACCCAAACCGCTGAACCATCCTTCCTCTCTGTAGTTTGCTCTTGTATCTCTGCATATAGACCAAAACAGACTAGGCCTGCGAGCCTGTTTCTAATGAGATAAACAGGAGTTTTGTCATTGGCAGCAATGACTGGAAATAGGGAGTGAACTCATTGGTGGAGTCGCAGCTGCAGCAGAGAACTTGGTCCCAAGGGTTTACACCATCTCTTGGTTTGGTCACAGAAAGGTGTTTCCCTGGTAGTTCTTGTTCCTATCCTCCCACTACTCACTGTACAGCACCTGACTAATGTGCATGGGTCACTTTTGTTCTGGCCTCTCACTGTAAGCGAGGCTCTTTGCCACACAATGGAAATGCCCACATTCTTTGTCACTTACGCGCCACAAGCTTTATTTGTTTTAATCAAATGCACTCTGATAATTATTAACATATTTAATTATTTTTTGCTCTGACTCACTCAGCTTGGGTGTCTAGTGATCACAAAGATTGTTTTATTACAATGACCCAAGTCTGAAGCATTTACACAGGTGAGTAATCCTCATTCCCACACACAGTTCCTGTTGATGTCTGTCTCGGGGCCTGATCTGACACTTCTTAGTCTAAGGGAGAGGAAAATCAGGCCGATGGAGACTGCTCCCATGAGTAAATGTTACTCACCAGAGTAGGGAGTTGCTGAATCAAGCTCTGTGTTGCAGCTGTCTGTGAATTATGTTGATCTAAACTTTACTATGCCTCTGATTCCTAAATGTAGGAGCCGGATTTTGTCTCGCATTCACACACACACACCTCCTGGAGGCCTCCTTACAGCTCTACTATGTGTCAATGAGTTATATGGCCTCACACTTGCAGTCAGAACACAGTGCAATTAGCGGTGTTTGTCTTAGGAAACTCATAACTCTTCACTTTCAAATGATTTATGAGGTTTTCCAGTTCTGGGCTGGCCTGTGGGCTGAGATCTTTCCCAGGCAGCCCTTCCTTTAGCAGTTCACTGTGGGGCTAGAGGGGGAAGTCAGTGAGTAGACCAGCCTCGCCATCCCTGAGGTTAAAATCTTGATGAGGGGCCAAAAGGGAAGGACATATCCATGAAGTTTTCCTCACGGTTTCCACCATATCATTTCATGAAGCAGAGACGGGCTTTTGCCCTCCTGGATCCCCTGTGAGCTGCATGGAACTTGGGGATTGGCTGGAGTCCAGACCCATCTATCTGGAGAGCTTATACCTCTGCAAGGCCTCTGCCCTTTCTCAGCAGCTACCTGGCACCATCCAGCCTTCTGTTTCCCCAGCATCCACACTCTGGGCAGGGCAGGGAGGTTTCTCTGCAGAAATGCAAGTGCAGCCCTGGACATAAAAGGGCCGTAATGCAAAGGACTCTGGGCCCCAGAGACGCTGGGCAGCACTGCAAGCAGGGAGGCTGCAGGCAAGCTCAGCTGCACCCCCACATCTGCACCCACCACCATCATCACATCTGCTAACACAGCCAGGGTTCATGCTGCTGCTCACCTTCCCTGTACCACAGGCAGGTACTGGGCTGCGGGAGTACTGGGAGTGATGGTGAGGGGAGCAAGGGGGAGATAAAGGGCTGGGAATGGAGGTGATGGAGCGCAGATGTGGCAGAGGGAGAGCAACGGGGGGTGAGGGAACAGCAAAGGGAGGGGAGATTGGAGCAGAGAGAGAAGAGGAACGAGGAAAAGCAAAAAGAGAAGAGACAAGCCTTGAAAATGCATGGGGGGGAGCAATCTTTTCTCCCTTCCCTGGGGTTTGACCTGCCAAACCGTCCTAAGCACAGCTCCCTGACCCCTACTATAACCAGCTCCTCACCAAGAGGAGAGTCTCCTTTGTATTTCTTGCTCCCCCAAATTAGGAAGGACCTACGACCATGTTTACTGTGGGACCATAAAGGCAAGCTTTGAACTGGGTCCCTAAAATCCTAAGATTCAAAGCGCTTTGCAGCCGTTACTTAATTGAGCATCATATCACGTCTGTGAGGCAGATGCATTTATCCAGTGAGGATAAATTGAGGTCTGGTACATGCGTCCACATATTTGTCTTTCACTGGTATAAGCATCCCATTATGTCGACATAGTAACACCATCTCCCCAAGCAGTGTTGAGCCATGGTTAGGTGACCAGATGTCCCAATTTTATAGGGACAGTCCCAATTTTGAAGGCTTTTTCTTATATAGGTACCTGTGTCCATAAACAGACTGCTCTGCATTGTTCCCCTTGCCTAACTCTACAGGGCAACGAAAAGCAGCCTCTTCCTCTCTTTGCTATAACCCTACCTCTTCTAGCACAAGTAAATGAATGAGAAGTCATTAGTTGTGTCCTGTTAAGCTGGGGGCACCGTCACTATAATGGGAAATAAACGTACATGCTTACCCAATTCCTCAGATTTAGATTAAGAGTGAACAGACTTTTAAAAAAATAACTGGAGTTAAAAAGCAGATCACACCTTAAAAAACCCCATTGCATTTTTAGAAATAATTCTGTATGTATCCGGTGCTGCTCTCTCTCGCTCTCCCTACACTATAGGTTTCTCTCCTCATTCTGTGTTAATGAAGTTTGGATGAAAACATGATCTTTGTTTCTTCAGGAGTTCATCTACTCCTGCTAGTAATCTGAAGTCACAATCCTAGAACATAAAAACAGCCATACTGGGTCCTTCCCCTGCATCAGGCTCATCCATGCTCGACTCTTGGGACTGACTGGACTGTGGTGGAGTTTCAAACA